CCCTTTTTTTAATTTACATTAATAATCTTCCAGATATTCTCACACCTATAGTGACATTGTTCACTATGATACTACCATTTATTCTTGTCATGATAACAAGTCAACTCTCTCTAATTGCTTGGAGGGGGCATTTGAACTTGAAAAGGATCTCACTTCTGCTACAGCATGGGGCTCACAGTGGCTGGTGAACTTTAATTCAGATAAAACTCAATTTTTTTTGGCCAATCGCAAATATTTTAGACCAAATATTTCATCGCAATATTTTAGACCTTCCTATATTTATGAACGGTAATGTACTCGATGATTCATCTACCATTTATCTACTAGAATTAACTCTTCTGATCTTTTTTGGAAACCATATATCAAATCCGTTGTAAAATTAGCATCTGCTAAAGTTGCATCTCATCAGCTTGACACTTTCTTTCTCTGGATTCTCTTCTCTATCTCTATAAATCTCAAATCCAGCCTTGTATGGAATACTGTTGCCATATCTGGGGCACAAGAGACACTGCTCTAAAGAGCTAGCGTCTCTTGTGCCATCTACTAAAATTCATTCTCATTTTACACATCATTCAATTAAGTTTCATCCTTTTTCTGATACTGTTCCCAAGTGCTCTAAAAACTCTTATTCATCTAATTTTTTTCCTCGAACATCAGTTCTTTGGAATTTGCTCCCTTCATCTTGCTTTCCTGATTAATATAACTTGCAGTCTTTCAAGTCGTCTTTCAATTATTATCTTGCTCTACAATCTTTATTTTTTCTCTTCCAGTAACTTCCAACACTAATTAGTGGTTGGTTGCAGCCTTGTTGGAAGCGAAGATGTTTAAAAAAAGAAATTAACAAAAGACTTTATAAAACAACAAATAAATGCTATGAATCAAGATTAAGGAGATTCCAAAAGTTATTCCAACCAACCATTTTGTCACCAGCATATAGTTAACACAAAATACCCTTTGATTATTTTGGTTTTGGACTTCAACAACATTAACATAATGTGGTCTTTTAAAAAACTCATTAATTATGGTAACACTTTATAAACCTTTCATATGACTTTATTGGTCAACTGAAAAAATAAACACATTTGTTTGATTTTATATAAATGTAATTTGATTTTATATAAATGTAGTATATACTGCTCAGCCTCAAGTGTAGACGACAGCTTTAGAGAACACTTTTGTAAAAATATAACAGATATGTTGTTCGGACTACAAGCCGTAGAAGAGTCTGTATAAGTCAGGCAATGGAATGACCTGTTTGTGACCTGAGAATAAGTACTTTTATGAGACTTCTTAATTTAGTCTGAAAGTTTTTTTAACAATATACAGGAATTAAGCACACACACACAAAAAAAATGTTCCAAGTTATACAAAAAAAAAAAAAAAACTGGTTTGTACAATGCATAACAAACCTGTTTTTGATAAACCAACTTCTTCCATGTCCAAACTGCTTTAGGATTGTGGAAAATACTATGGAAAAGTCTCTGGATTTTTTATTTAAAGTTTTTTTACGAAACGTCTTGGTATCAGGCTGGCAAGGAATTTATTATTTCCTTTTGACAATTCAAACTGCTTTGTCAGTAATCGTGAGCCAATGCTCCTCCTTCCCGACCAAGCCTGCATATCTGGAGCAGATCTTCCAATGATGCCCTTTCTCTTTTAGACAAGGTGCAAAAACGTAGTTGGCCTTGCTCTTGCAGCCAACCTTCAACCATTATCACATTGTTGTAATCTTGCTTCTCTTTCTCTTTACTATAAATACTATAATGGGCACTGCTCTTCCTTCTTCCTCTAGTGTCTCTTATACCATTTACTAAAATTCATTCTTGTGTTACTTGTCATTTAATTAATTATTATCTTTTTACTGTGACTGTTCCTAAGTGCTCCAAAAAATCTTATTAGTCTAGTTTTTTTCCTCAAAAATCAGTCCTTTGGAATTCACTTTCTACATCTTGTTTTTCTGATTCATATAACTTGGAATCTTTTAAGTTGCTGTTAATCATTATCTTCCTCTGCAAATTTCATTTTTTCTCTTCCAACAACTTTTAACTCTAATAGTGTTTGCTTGCACCCTTGTTGGAATTGAAAATGTTGAAAAAAGTAATAATAATTGCTTGATAAGAAAAAAAACTATGAAACAGGATGGTTTTTGAGTAGTTTCTGACTACCATTCTCTTCATTGTATCTTTTTTCATAATATTCTTGAGTAGAAAAAAAGTAAAATTGACGGGAAGGTACTTAAAAAAGCTTGTTGTGCACTCAATGCACTAAGGAAGGAACTGTAAAATATGTAATTTTTAGAAGTGATAAATAATCAAAAACTAAAAAATTTTATCTTTACCAGGCTTCAAACAAAATATTTCAAATTTTACAATGAATCTTATTAAAATAGCTCCTCTTAAAATATATTCATGTAAAATTAATACCTTATTTTTAATAAGGTTCTCCAACAACCTTTAATATTTTAAATATATAAGGTTGTAGGAGATGTTATTTAAAACCTTCCTAATTGTTCGTTTCGCTTATCAAGGAAAATTTTTTAACTTAAATGCCTGTGTTTGTATTTAATGTTTCCAATGTTCCTGTTTGCACCTTATATTAAAATTAAAAGTGAGGGACATTTTAAAAAGTTATTTATTATGAAAAATATCTTGAATTTCCTGATTTTTTTCCTACTATTTAGTGTGAATAATTTGTTAATAAATCAATTTTAAATAATTTATTTGAAATATCTCACTCATTGCAAACTGAAAATATTATTCTAATTCTATTATTTAATGAAAAAAGCATAAGATTTATAAGATTTTATATTAAAAATTGAGGTTTCAAAAAGAAATCAAAGTTTAGAACTTTTTATAACAATTTTATGAAAAGTTATTATGAAAAAGTTTATGAAAATTAGTTTTCAGTTTTTTTTTCTTTAATACTCTTCGTGTTTGTTCAAACAACAGCACTTTTTTATATCAAGTTAAAAAAATGAGCAATATTGCAAAGATTTAAATATAATCTTTTTTAAAATTTTTTTTTTTAAATCGAGTAGCATCCTATCCTGCAAAACTAATAGTTGTCTACAAGTAGAATTGTTTTAGACATAAAAAGTTTATATAAACAAAGCGTATTAAATGTACTTTTTTACCTTAGAGTTGTGTTAAAAAAATTTCAATAACTGGAGTCGGAGTCGTTACTTTTTTTTTACGACTCCACACCCCTGATTTATTGAAATACTGGTCTCCAAAGGAATATAGTAGACTTTAAAAATCTCTTTCATCTCTATTCTTTTGTAATTTAGTCAAATTGCCAAAGATGCTTTTCATTTATTACATAGACAACAATCCATTAAATGTGTTTGAATACAAGAACATGTAATAGTAAACAATTACAAAATAAAACTGTCTAATACTTTTTTTTTTGGTTATATTACTATGAACTGCATTTTGTAAAAGATAACCTAGAAAAAATTTCTAAATAATCTTTGCTCAATAGAAGTAGATTCTGTAACAGTTTGGCTTTGTAATTGATAAAGCTGTTTAGAAAAACATTGCATTTATCATAAATAAGTATTTAATGGATTGTTAAAACAAATATATTCGACCATATAGTTATTAATAATAAAAAGTAATAGTAATAAATAATAAAATAAAAAGTAATAATAGTAACTATATTAATGATTGAAATATTAATAATATTAATAACAAAGTATAACTATACAGTGTAAATTTTTTGGTAAATATCATAATGATAAAAACGATTAATATTAGTAATGTAAGAGCTATATTAAAATAGATAATAGCAGATTTAGCAGATAAAAATATAAACTCTTATAATAATAGTACAAGTAATAAATTAAATAAAAATAATGGACTTGAAATAAAACAAAATATAATTTAAGAATTTAATAGCTAAATGACAAAAACAAAATTAACAGCAAAAATATAAACTTTCCATGTAATAAGTATGATTTTTGGGTAATATGTAATAACATGTAATAGAAATGAATAAGTAATAGCATATATGTAACAACAATGTATTAAAAATGTAATAAATAAGAATATACAAAATAAAAAAGAAACTACTTTTAAATATTAAATATACATACACATTGCAATTCAGTAATCGGTTCACATAAATACATCCATTATATTATCTAAGCATTTGATCCATACATAATTCAAGTATAGTTGAGTATTGTAAGTGAATATTGAGTTATAAAAAAAGTGAACATAAGCTGTAATTAAACAAGATTTTGTTCCATTTATGATGAAATGAAATTCAAGAAAAAATTATACTTATAATGGATACAATATACATAAGTAATAAGTACTTTTCCTTAATAGTTTAACTTCACTGGCAATTTTAAGGGTGACTGATACAAACGAAAAAAATTATATAACAGCTTACTTTCTTGTTGTATGTAGCAACAGTAAAATTCTGTCTATGTCAAACAGAATGGTAATTTATGCTGCAAAAATCATTTATAAACAGTTCAACTTTGCTGTAACTATCACAAGCAATTTTCCAACAACAAGATCAGCTATTTATTTCCTTGTTATAAACTCACCTGCACTTGTGAACGGAAAAAAATAACATTCAAAACATAAACATAATATGTGCGCATGCGTTTGTTTTCAGCCGCAGAAGCAATTTTTAGACAAATTTATGACGAATCTTCTGCGGCTGAATATTCAGCCTCTGTAACACTAGTCAAATGTAGTAGGTTTAGGTTGAAAATTTGATTACTTCAAAAATTTTAGTTTCATGATATTAAGGAATGGTAAACAGACTGATCTATGGAGAGAACGAATTTTTTGGCGTACATCCTGATGAAAAAATCAACTTTTTAGGGAATTGGGGCAAATTTTCCCTCTCCTCAAATTTTTAAAAAATATTTTTGGGGAAAATTTTAAAATTATTATATTTCTTTAAAAAATATTTTTGTTTTTACTTGTTAAAATGCAAATCTAAATAATTTTTAAATAGATTTATAGAGTATTAAAATAACAAATATGTATAATATAATACAATTATAATGTCCAAGACATAATAAAATATAACTAGAATATATTAAAATAAGAAAGTCCATGAAAAATTAACAATCAAGCTGATAACAAAATTAAGCTTATGGATAAACTTACAGAAAAAGCAACATAATTTAGAAATGAATTTATGGAGTATTAAAATAACAAATATACAAAATATAATACAAAAAGTATAATTTACAAGACAAATACAATATTACATAAAAGATAAGTAATCGTATTATAATAAGAAAATCCAATGATTGATTTATATCAAATCATCTACACTCTATTGCTTGAATATTCTAACACCGCTCTTCTCAATAGTTCTCCATGGTTTGATCTGGATTCAGATGTTGCGAATCTACTCAAAGTATTAAGCATGTTGTGATGAACAGATTCGGAACATTGCTCAGCAAATACACCTAGAGGCATTCTAATATTGTTTAAGAAAATAACAAGGTGGTGTTCAATAATATGACCTTTCCACCCCATTGAGAGATTGTGGTTAAAGTTAACTTTAACATAAATTTCAGTTTCCTAAATCAAAAGTAAAAAATAAATAGACATAAAAAAAAAAAACCATACAGCTAATATGCCTATGACATAATATTTATAAATAAGAATTGTTTTCATGTTTATTTCTACATCATATTCAATAATTACTTTCCTAAAATTATTTTCAAATTTTAATTTACCTTTAACTTCTTAACATACATTGCAATGGCACCTGCATAACCCTCATGAAGTTTCATACCAAAGCACTTATCGACAACTAAAATTTCATGGTTAATGTTGAAGTTTAATCATATTTTTTAAAATCATGTTTTAAATTGAAAAAATAGTTCATACGCAATAAACATATATATGTGTGTATGAGGTGTGTGTATATATATAAATTACCTATAGAAAACGATTTTAACAGTTCAACAACTGGATGATAAAAAGGATAATGGTCAAAAATATGTTGTTCCAAATCAGGCAATAGCTTCCGAATTTTGTTAGCATTTCTACCATCTAACCCACCTCCATTATATCCATGCCAAATTATCCCATGGTTACTTAACCATACAGCAATTTCTGGTTCTTTACATAAAACATTAGAAATCTCTGTAACAATCTTCATCAGCAAATGAAGTTCTGGTGGAGGAACTACATCAAGTACATGTGTATCTTCAGCTACATCAAGCAGACATGGATGTATTACATTTTTGTAGATCTGCATAGAACTTTTCTTAGATCCATTTTCAGCAAAACTTCCATACAGCAACTTTAACTTTTTGAAAGTTCTCAATTCTCCTAAATTTGACTTTTCACCATTGCAATATAAACAAGAGTATTTACCTCCATGTCCTGATAAGCCTAATATTATATTTAGCAGTTTAAGATCTGCTGCTAAGTAGAACTTAAGTCTGTTGAGCATTATTTTCTTGATAATTATCTGAAGGTTCGCATGATTTTCAGTAACATTTTTGACAAATGCCAATACCAGAACTTTATTAACACCAGTATTTTTGTTTTCTCGACAGTCAATATCTGTTTCTATATTAAAAACATTCATTACAAATTTTAAGGATCCTTGACCACCATCTATTCCAACACGAATAATAACTTTATCTATTGCTAGTCCCCTAACAGTGCAAATATGTTCAACAAGTGATTTGGAATCTTTCACATACACTAAATCTTTAATTACAGTATGTAGGATGTTTTTATTTCCAACCTTTTTCTTAGCTGTAAACTCCACTTTTTCTGTTGCGTAATAATCATCAAGACTACACGACCATATCTTTATTTTCTTTGAAGTGTTAGCTTCCACCCCCAATCTACCCAAATCTTTTCTGCAATCCATTGCAATTGAATTTATTGTAGAATCTGATAGATCGTGCTTTCTTTTTATATTATAGAAAGTTTGACTTGATATTGTTTTCATTGCCTTCTTCTTTCCTATCTGTAGACTCAACGGAGTTCCGCCTGTCGACAATTTTATAGTTTCCCCCATTTGAATGTTTTGAACTTGCTGGATTTCTTTTAAAGATTTGGAGAGGACTTGTTCTACTGTTTTTAAACCTAAAATTTAACATTTAAAATTTATCATAAGATTTAATAAAAAAGTTTACTTTTATTCAGACTATAATGTATTTATTCTGTTACCTTTTGAGATTAACAACATTCTTAAGTTCTCCACAGTATCTTTCTTACTACAGGAATGTCGAATTCCCACTCCGATTCTTTGATAACAATTAAAGCAAATTTTTTTAATAACTTCATTTGATATCTCAGGTTCATTTAAATAAACACTTAAAACATCCTAAAAAATTTTTTTTTATACTTTATAAGTTAGCATTAATGGTAATTCAATCAATTTTCAAATCAATTATGTAAATTAAATCTTATATTTTATGCAAATTGATTTTCATATGTTTACGTTACTAAGTTTACATTAAAAGTTATACATTACCTTCAGGTTTACCTCTTTGGATTTATCTCTGGACATAACACATAGTGGACAATCACAGGTTGACTCTGCATCACCTATATATATATATATATATATATATATATATATATATATATATATATATATATATATATATATATATATATATATATATATATATATATATATATATATATATATATATATATATATATATATATATATATATATATATATATATATATATATATATATATATTTAAGAGAAATATAGAATACATATTTACCTTTAAATCTTGGAAGTAATCTAATTCTCTCAGATGTGAGCAACCAATTTTCTAAAGTTACAATAGATAATGACTCTCCTTTTTTGGCAGAGTATAAGTAAACCTTGCAGCTTGAACATAAACCTGTTGGGCTAGAAAGTAGATCTGGATTGTAGTTGCTGTTTGCATACATTTGAACCAGATTTAGGATCTGAGTTCCAGGTTCCAGCATAGAACATTTTAAATTTTTTTTACCACAACAAGCACAAATAATCTTGCGAGACGCTAAATGATCTCTATGTTTATAAGGCATGTCACTTATATTAATTATGCTAGTGATATGTGACTGAATATATATATATATATATATATATATATATATATATATATATATATATATATATATATATATATATAATATTGATACAAAATATTTTGAAGTTAGAAATAAAAATATTATAAATTATCAATAATTATTTCAACTTTATCAAAAACTTTTACATAAGCACCAAAATATTTTTTCAACAAATTTATTCATTAATTTTCTTATTGTTTAAGAAAGTAAAAAAAAAATTATAAAAAAATTATGTCACAATTTTTTTTTGGGAGGGGGGAAATTTGCCCCAATTCCCTAAAAAGTTGATTTTTTCATCAGGATGTACGCCAAACAATTCGTTCTCTCCATAGATCAGTCTGTTTACTATTCCTTAATATCACGAAACTAAAATTTTTGAAGTAATCAAATTTTCAACCTAAACCTACTACATTTGACTAGTGGTAAACGACTAAAAATTGCTTCTGCGGCTGAAAACAAACGCATGCGCACATATTATGTTTATATATATATGTATATGACTCATATATGAATCTTGGTTTCTCGATAAAAACAATAAGTGCACAACCAATAAAACAATCTTTTGTGTTATTAAAAAACACTCATAATATGAGTGTTTTTCAATAACACAAAAGATTGTTTTATTGGTTGTGCACTTATCGTTTTTATTGAGAAACCAAGATTCATCTATGTCTTTTACAAAAAGGCCATACGAAAATAGTTGCAGTAGACGTGTCCAAAAAGAATATTAAAAAATACTAGAATTTTCATCAGTACATATAGAAAAAAAATCGAATGTTGGAACTTCTAAAAGAAATGATTTCTTATCTTGCGAAAATCCAAAAGAATATTTTGACCATCATGAGTCATCGATTTTGTACTCTGAATACTCTTATGGCCAAAAGCCTAATGAGTATAAGCATAACCCAACTTTAAAGGAAAGTTTTTCTGCATGTTTTTCTAACCAAGTAATTATGCACTAAACAAGTGGATTGACAAGAATACCAACAAATTTATTGTCCCAAAAAAAAACTATAATCATGCACTGAAAAACAACCTTTTGTCAACAAAAGAATGGCACAAATTTCCATTGATAAAGTGTAAGATAACAGATAGTCAGTATCTAACTTGTTTTGTATTTTTTTTAAAGGTAACCTAATTACTTTTTTTGTAGCAAAATGTTTTATAATTAGATTCATTTTCATGTTGTGAAGAATACAACTTTCTACATCAGATGAGATATATGTTAAAGAAAGCATTAAAAATAAGAATAACAAATCATACCGCTCTTTATTGCCAGAACCTCCGCCACCTATTATGAATAAATAATTTTTTCTTAATGGTTTATAAACTGAAATAGATTCTTGTTTAATTTGATCTGAATAATATCTATCTAGCTATTAGTCTTTTTTATGTATTACTAAGATTTTCCTTTTATTTTAACTATTTGGGTGTTCTATTATATGTAATGTTGTTAAATTGGTTACATATATTTATATCATTGACAACATTCTATTGTATTAAATAATCCTTTAATCAACTTGATATGAAAATTGAAAATTGATTGAAAGCATGCTGAAGTTGTTTGAATTCAGAAATTGAAAGAGTACAAAATTGGTTGAAAGATTAAATTAAGTAACAAGTATGGTTGAGGGATTATTTATAGTTCTAATTATAATTATTTCTTTTGAATAGAGTTGTTATCAGATTCAAAGATTGAAGAAGATAGTTTTTCTTCACATTTTTTTGATGAACACCAAGCAAAGTTCACATTGTCAAAGAGTTTTAAGTTTTAACGTGAGTAATTTTGGTTTTTACACCACTGAATGTTAATGTGGAGGTCTTTTTTATTAATTTGTTTTTGTATTAAAATAATTGTAAAAGATAGGTATAAAAGAATAGAAATGGATTATTTTTGATATTGTGATCCGATAAATCATGTGTGTAGCATTTTATCTTTAGTAGTTAAGCAAAATTCTTTAATATTGTAGCCTTTTACAGGATAAAGTTTTAGCTGATTTAAAAAGTAGGTTTTCCAAAATATTATGGCAACTTCTGCGATGGAGTAATAAAAAAACCTACATGTATTTTTGAAATTTTAGTTTAAGTTACCCAAGCATAATTTGAATTTTAAAGTTCTTATTTCATTGTTTTGCTATTTGGTTTTATGAGCTAAATATGTTAATCAATCTTTTTATTCTTGTTTGTAGAGATGAAAAAATGTTATTCTCAAGGAGCTTGCAGAAATAAAAGTTCTTTTAAAAGAAGTTATAGAAATTAAGTTTCAGGCTACTGGGGTGAAGTTGCTAGAATCGGTGGACGAAGTGGTTACACTGGATAATAAACTAAAAGATAAAACCGAGTATACTAATTTGGTATAATCTAATTATCTTAATTTTTAATAAGTTTGTTTAAATTTGGTTTATTAGTTTAGAATCTAAATAAAAAGTATTTTTAAATGAACTGAAATAAGTAGCTTGTGTTTGACTCAATATGTTGTAAAGAAATTTAAGTTACACTAGTTTTTATTACATTTATTTCAGCTTGATAGTTTAAAAAAGTTTGGTGGTGGAAAGCCAAGAGAACATGTTTTGATCATGAAAAGGTAAATGATTATGTTTTTATTAATTATTAGAAATATGATTAAAAGGGACCAAAAGCAATTCTTTTTGACCGTTATTTGTTATGGATTTACTTTTAACATGATTATTTGATCAACTCGGGAGCTTCGCTGTAGGTGTTTAAGTTTGTTTGTGTGCTAAAGTAAGTGTAATGCCAAACCTTGTTTAGCATTTTATTTTCAAATTTAATGCTTTTACCTTTCATAATTTTAAGCATTCATTTATTAAAATATATTTTAATTTATTACATATATTAAAATAAAAGTCTTTATATATTTCAGTTTATTGTTAAAATATTTATCAGGTTATTTTCGAATCAGTTACAGTCCAAATTAAATCAAAAAGGAATTGGGGAAAAGATAAGCTTAGAAAATCTAGTAAATATATGGAGTGTTTTACGAGGTATAGTTTTAATAGTATTTACATAACTGATATCTGTATTAAAAAGATATTCTTCAACTTTTTTGTGTCATGCTAGAATTTTTGTATCCATAATACAAGTTCCTTTAGTTTTTTCATAAAAAAATTGTTGTTTATTATTGTATCTGGTTGAGATACAAATCTTCTTGTTTATATATATATATATATATATATATATATATATATATATATATATATATATATATATATATATATATATATATATATATATATATATATATATATATATATATATATACATGTATATATGTGTATATACAGTATTGGACAAAACATTTGCAACCAACATCGAACAATGCTTAAAAGTGTTCATAATTTTATGTCTTAAAAATGAAACGAACTATACTACCACAGCAAACAGTTCAGGAGTCTGGAGTCATAGCATGCCATGAAATGAGCAATCAGCTGACAGGTGACAGCACACAGGCAGAATTTTGTTGACAAGTTCCATTTTGCAGCATACATATATATACTGTGAAGCATGGTGGAGGCAATGTAATGGTCTAGGGGTGTTTTTCTGCTAATGGTCTAGGTCCAATACATCGAATCGATGGAATAATGGACCGTTTCATGTATAAATATATCCTGAAAGATGTTGTTACCTCATGCTGAATGGAATATACCAATAAAATGGGTTTTTCAGCAAGACAACGATCCCAAACACACTGCAAAAGTAGTCAAGCAGTGGTTTCAAGACAACCATCTATTGGTGATGGATTGGCCGCCTAAATCTCCGGATCTCAACCTTATCGAGAACCTTTGGGAGATCGTCAACCGCAGAGTTCATCATGAATTTTTTCGTAATAAGGATAAACTGTTTGAACAAATCCAAAAGGCCTAGGCAGCGATTCCACAAAGTTTCATTGATCACCTGATCGAATTTATGCCTTAAAGATGCAAGGCTGTGATTGACAACAAAGGATTCACCACAAAATATTGATATGAATACAGCTTGGTCAACATTTTGTGGAGTTGCACTTGTTTTGTCCAAAAGGAAATCAACTTTTTTTAATACTTTTGATTAATTTATTAATTTTCGTGTACAAATAATGAACTTTGTGATGAATAAAATTTGAAGAACGTTGTCTCTAAACAGTTACATAGTTATTTCTCTAAATTGAAAAAATACAGCACTTTTATACAAAGAAACTAAATTAGCATCATTTGGTTGGACTGGTTTTGTCCGATACTGTATGTATATATATATATATATATATATATATATATATATATATATATATATATATATATATATATATATATATATATATATATATATATATATATATATATATATATATATATATATATATATATATATATATATATATATATATATATATATATATATATATATATATATATTTCATAAAAATAGATTCAGAATTCTACATGTCTTTTAAAGTCATTTAAATGTCATTAATGTATATATTTTAGATATCGGCGACGTGGAAGAAAATGTTGACGGCAATGCAGAAATATAGTTTCTTATGTATATTTTTGTGAAATAAAAATTAAGTAATGTTAGTTAAAATGTTTCTTTACTTATTTAATTTAATCCTTTTTTATGACTAATTTAACCGCTGTAACACCTTTGTATCAAACAAGTCCCAGCAAAGAAAGAGATATCTAAAATGCATCTAATATGCATCTAAAAACTGGTCTAAAAGAAGTCTAAATTCACGTCGTGAACGGGACATAAATAGATGTCTATCTTATAGATGTCATTTAGATGCATTTTATTCGACACAAATAAATGCCTTAGATGCATAAAAGATGTGAAATATACATTTAAAGATGTATATTAGATGTATATTAGATGTATATTAGATGCATAAAAGAGCTATTATTAACTAAAAAATTATCTTTTATCTATCTTTTTTAAACGCGCCTTAGACATCTATTTAAGAGACGTATTTTATACATCTAATATGCATCTGTAAGATGTATATTTCACATCTTTTATGCATCTAAGGCAATTATTTGTGTCGAATAAAATGCATCTAAAAGACGTCTATAAGATAGACGTCTGTTTATGTCCCGTTCTAGACCTGAATTTAGACATCTTTTAGATCAGTTTTTAGATGCAATTTAGATATCTTTTTGTTTGCTGGGATTGATGAACACTTTTTTAACTTATTTTATTTCCATAACTTATATAAAACTTTAGTATGTTTTCTAAATTTTTCGTTGTAAACAGTAAATACCTGACGCTGCCAATATTACTCCAAAAGAAAAAATCAAACCCAAAATCATTTTCACTAAAAAATAAACATGAAACGATTTCGTGGTAAAATTTTATTTAAAATTTTTTTGTATGCGTTTGTTTACAAGTATAAATGCGTTAAGGTGAAAGTTGGATCAGCTGAACGAAACTTTATTTTGTTTATTTACGCTTTCTAAAAAAATTAGTTATTTTAAATTAACGATAAAAATTTCGTTAAAAAAAATAAAATAATTTAAAAATATTAGGTTTTTTAAAAAACTAGATTAAAGGCAATAAGGTTGTGTGGCCGTAAACCAATATTATTAAAACTCGTTAAATAACTACTTTTTTGATAAATTACATATGGACAATGACGGTTCCAGATACATTTGGTGGTAGGTGGTGATAGTAGTGGGGAGGAAGTGGTTATTGATGCTGAAATATTTTGTATCACATTTGCGTCTCTTAAAAAAGAGGTCCTGTATTTCTAAGATATTTTACAAATTTCAGATTCTGGGATAGAAGATGCATACCCCCATCCTTGGATCCTTTACTGTATAAGGATTTAAATTAAAAAAAAAATATTTAAAAAAACATCTAACTAAATAGTTGATTAAGTTAAACTTAACTAATTTAATACTCGCTATTATAATTCCATTAATTAACTTAACTTAATTAAATTAACTAACTTAATGCTCTTTAATATATAAAGAAAGAGAAGAAAAAAAGAAAACAGGATCTAACTTAATGCTTGTTATTATATAAAGAAAGAAAAGAAAAAAAGAAAACAGGGTTTTCAAAAATTTTAAAGTATGTTTTACAGTAGAACTTCGTTAACTTGGGCTCTAAAGGAGTATATTTATATTGTCTTTCTTAGCAAATGTCCGAGTAAAGCGAAGGTCTCGCTACATCGGACTTTTTTAAAATATTCGACTTATCGAGATTATATTATGTATTTCGAGAATATATTGTGATGTATTATGTTTTTTTTTTCTTTCGACCATTCAGATAAGGATTGCTCTGGAATGCCATATTTCCTTGATAAAAATACAGATGATTATTTTTTGTCGAATTCTCTTAGTATGATGAATTTTTCTGCTATAGTTCTAATTGTTAGCTTTCTTTTAGTAACTTTCCAAATTTTTAATAAATATAAATTAATCGAAAATTAACCGAATCGAAAATATCAGTGAAAATGTTTAATTAGTTAAATATTCTTTGACGCAAAGATAATTAATTTTCGAACATTTTAAATTTTGAATTTTTATTGATGTTTTTGAATTTTTAATAAAATAGTAATCAAATCTACAGGGTTTTGTCTTAGAACAAATAGAATACTTTATTGGCCACACAACCCTTGATTTGTTGCAACAGTCTTTTTATACAGGCAGGCCTTCACAGAGACTTTGTGTTATCCAGGGTTAATTTTTGTTCGGTGCAATAAACTTTGGACTCCAGAGTATATTAAATTAAGCATGAACCTAACTGTATATTATTCGTATGTCTACTATCACATTACAATTTAATGAAAACAATATTTATTTTTATTACTACAATTTAAAATCAATAGATTTATATATTCCATCAATAAAATGTTAATTATAAAGACTAATCAGATCACACTATTTTCACTTTGCAGGCATTCTTCTTAGCAAAACTATAGATGACATTTTTGTATGATAAAGTCTGGGCAAGGTTGTTTTCAATTGAAATCACCATAAGGTTAGTAAGGCGTTTTTCAGCCATTGTCAATCGCAATTTGTTCACAAAATGCAGATCAAAGGAAATATTGACTTAAGAAACTTGATAGAAGAAAGAGATTCTACTTGTCCAAAAGTATTTGATTGCTTCAGAACATCTAGATGACGGATTTCTTCAATCATTCTTTTACATTCTTCTTTTACATTATTTACGTAGAGATTAGCCAAGTCTTTGCATTTTTTTTTTGACTAAGCTTTTCTTTATCACTAGAAAGAGATGGAGAACACCATACGAACAAAAACATATCTGTCATCTTTTAAGCTGTATCCATTCTGTATCTTATCTGCCGGAGTAGCGTGTTTAGAGCAACATTAAACAAGTTTATTGGTACTGCCGTGAAGTGTTTTCCTTTTCTTTGGCCTCTTCTTATCAAAATCATTTTGAAACCCTAACAAAGATAACCCAGATGCAACCAGTTTTGCTTTTTGGAAGACTTTGCGCCAAGAAGAACGCAGTCGGTCAAGATCATTAATTAAAGTCTTTAAAAACTTTGTCTCGTTATCCAAAGAAATGCTTACTAATTAAATAAATAGGCAGACATTGTTGACACATAGAAGATCTTTGAACCAGAAAGTAACCAAAGTTTGATAAACTAATGTATGTTTGATAAACCAACATAAATTTGAACATAATACTGAAAAAAAGATTACATCTATATTAAAATTCCAAGCAAAACTAAAATTATTTTATGGACATGAACTGCTGCGTGGGGAAAGTGGGGCACTGCCTCCTCCTTACAGGGGGAAGTGCCCTACCCTACCTAGTTTTGATTTATTTATTCTTTTTTTAAATATCTCAATTATTTCATGCATTTATTATATTTTATAAATCTAATTCGTTTAATAAATTATAGTTTTAAAACTATACTTAGTAACGAAAAGCCGATTAAAATTTTCTTTTAGAAAATCCCCTTTGAAAGTTCCAAAACACGCAAGGAAAAAAAGAGAAACTAATCGTACAAAGGAATAATTTTTAGTTAGCAAACAAGCAAAGATGACCTCAGTTAGGTTGCCAACCAGGGCTGGTGTTATAAAGCACTTCCTCTATCTAAGGAGAAAAATTATCTAACTTCGGAGGCAAAGCAACTTGTTTTCTATTCTTTAAGTAAGAGCCTCAGGTAACTTTTTATAAAGAACCTATCTTTTTTTTCAGAGTAGGAAAGTATTGCAATTAGTTTTCTTAAATATTATTCATTTAAAAACTGTAAAGGCAATTTTAATTTATTTTTGGTATGCAACTGAGAAAAGATTTATAAAGAAAAATTATCTTTGCTTCAATGTGAAGTATACTTCTGTGGTTTCTCCTTGCAGTTAGGAATGTATTCTAGGCACACTATGTTTTCCATGGCTATAATCAGGTTTCCCCATGATTGGACCTGTAACTTCTTATCAAAGGAATATATCAAAATATATTGACAGATACTTGAACTTTAAGAAAAGCCTGCATAAGAGTCTTTAATTTTTAATAATTAGGACTGTTCCAGTCGAGTGATAAAATGACTGCAATATTAATTATTTTAGGAGCAGATCATCTGCTTGGTGCTCTAGGAATTTTTCTAAAACAGGACTAAATTAGTTCATTGCTTTTAAATCATATCTGACAGAGTTTGATGTTGCTGATCAAGTATGAAGTGTTTGTTTTAATAAAATTGCAAGCAATACTGGAATTCGTGGTGCAATATACAGGTAACGATTTACAAGTTTAAAACTAGAAGCTAAAATTTACAATTTATATTCAAGTTTGTTTTATTCATTATAAACCCACAAATATGGATGTGTTTTTCCTCATTTTACATTTTAGTCTTGGTTTTAATATAACAATTCTTCTTTTGTTTTTATTTTATTGTCTTATAAAAAAAAAAGCTTTTATATGGGTTTAATGAAATAAGCTAGAAAAGAATTATTTAGGTTGAGAAATGATATTGGAAAACCATTGTTGATACTTACATGCAGACATCATGTTCTAAAATATTTCCAAATACCTGTGACTACTGACCAGATTGTAGGGCCCGACAATATTCTCTTCAAGGGTCTGAAAATGAAATGGCATAATGTTGATTTTGAAAACTCTGTCAACTCCCACTTCAAGTGGCAATCTTATTTTATTACTTAGTTAGAAAAACAGGCAAATAATCAACTTATGATGATGGTCAAACCTTGAGTATTCAAAAATTGCCAGTTTTTTTTTTAAGTAATCATTTTCAGTAATAATTTTGTAAGTTATCATAAGATTTAAAAGATAAATTTAAAACATGCTTAATGAAAGTAAAAAGTGTATACATTGTTTCCCAACCAATCTTATTAAAGAATTTTTTTTTTCTTCTCATTTCTCCAAGACAATAAAATATTTTTTATCATGAGAAAAATATGAACTTTTAATAATTGAAAGTATATATATATATATATATATATATATATATATATATATATATATATATATATATATATATATATATATATATATATATATATATATATATATATATATATATATATATATATATATATATATATATATATATATATATATATATGTATATATATATATATATATATATATATATATATATATATATATATATATATATATATATATATATATATATATATATATATATATATATACTTTCAATTATTAAAAGTTCATATTTTAGTTCATATTATAGAAAAAAATATATATATTCACATAAAAAATTAAAAAAAAATTAAAAAAAAATTTACTTATAAAGCAAAAAGACAAGCTCTGATTATCATGAACTTGTTGAGTTGGCCCTCATGTACTTGGATCCAGCATTTAAGCCTCTCCTCATTTATAAGCCTGGTACACTTCACCATACCTCTTTTGTGGCAAAATTTTTTACCTAAAGGTCATGCTTTTTCTCAAAGCTAATAAAGTGCCCTAGACCCATAGCCTATGACTTTGATAGAAGAAATAATTCTGAATTACTTTAAAAAAAGGAGGAGTTTATCCAGTTTAGTAAGCCAGCTAGTCTTTCTGATTATTTAGCTTCTGATTATTGGCTAGATTTTGATATCTATGAACAAAATGAACAGCAAGTCATGTGGCTCCATTTTCCCTCTGCTGCACGCAAATTTGATCCTGACTTATTTGCTTTTGTCAAAAACTCAGCCGTAGTAAGTGATGTTGCAAAGAGAGCTGTAAAAACAGTTCAGGAGGCAGTTAAAGTTAGTTAGCAGGAGAAGAAGCTCCTGAAGTTGCTTCTGGTCAAAAGTAAATTCAATAAACCTCTTTCCAGAACTAAAGCTGTTTACAAGAAGGCTTCTGAGCAACTGACAACAGCAAAAAAGCTTCGTCATTACATGTAAAAAACTTTTGAAGAAATGAAGTTTTCCTTTCCAGCAACAGTAAACTTGAAAGTAGTATTGATATTGTGGAGTAAATGATGTTCTGGAGGCTGTGTGGTAGCCCTAAAAAATGCTGAAACATAATTAAATTTTTTTATTTAATTTTTTTTTCAAAGTTTTGTAGTTATGCTCAAAGTACATAAAAGGACAAAATAAGAATATAAAATCCCTCCCCTTTTTTAAATAAGTAAGAATAGGAAAGTCTACAGTCCCCCCCCCCCACCTACCGCACCTAAAAGTTTGTGAGATTTCCTCAGCATTGAAGATTTCATTACTAAATTCCAGAAAGTACGTTATTACTACTTGAGAATTATTACTAAGTGGATGAGTCCGATCCCCTTAGGCTGCTAATACTGTTGTAATCTGTTGCACCTAAATCTGTATGGTTTTAATGTTTGATTTGCTCTATGCCTTGTTTGATGCAATATGAAGCAATAGAGCTAGGAGCTTGATTTTTTCTACGCATTATCTATACATGGTCAAATATGAAATACGTCATATGCATGTGTTTATTATACTCAGGTCTCCAGATAATAGACAATCTGTATAATTTTCAAAACATATAAAAAATGCCGTTTACTTGCGCGAGATGAAAAAAATTATTTTTTCAAAAAATTAAAATTATATCCTGAAATCACTTTAAATTTTCCAACTTTTTAACTTGCATTCATATCAGAAAGATAAAACGAACATCCCTATTATATACATTTATTTATTTATACACAGTTTGTTAAATTAATCTAACATTGTCTGGGAAAGTGCAGAAAAGTTGCAACTGCTGTATTGTTGTCAGAAACTTGTAATTTGTGTAATAAATTTGACATTATTTTATTAAAATGAGAATTCTAAATATATACGAGCTGAATGTATTTAATATTTTATTTTTTGTATTTATGTGGAAAAATTTAAAGATCTTTTTACTCTAAAACCTTCTTACATATACATTTTGAAAAAAGATATTTACCCGACAAGAAATTTTAATGTGGGCCATATATGGCATTTGCGTGCTAATCATATGCTTACCACTCTCCTTTATGGGATGGCGTTGATGCGTCCCATATGTGGCTTTAATGTTTATCCCACTAAAACCACACTAAATAAGAATGAACGCCACGCTTCATTTGTGCGTGAAAGTTTCATGTGGCCCACTTGTGGCAAGCACATGTTAACCATATATTTAGCACTCTCCTTTATGGGATGGCGTTGCTGCGTTCCATATGTGGCTATAATGTTTATCCCACTAAAACCACACTAAATAAGAACGAAAGCCACGCTTCATTTGTGCGCAAAGTTTTATGTGGCCCACGTGTAGGAAGCATATATTAGCCATACATTTACCACTCCACATTATGGCGTTGGAGTGGCCTACGTGTGGCGATAATACTTATATTGCTCAAAACCACTCTAAAAAAAAACGAAAGTCGTATTACATTTTTACAGGAAAATTGATATATATACATCTATAAAATATAAAAGCATCAATTAAAACGAGTTCTCTCAATACTATTGTTAAATTAAATTAACAATAGCATTGAGAGAACTCGCATTAATTGATGTTTTTATATTTTTAACATATATACTCTCATACAAGATGACAATACTCGAATCATGTATATTTACATATATGAAAAAAAATATGCTTCTTGCTTTTTGTTAAAAATTCATTTACAAACATATAAGTATACAATAACTTTTCATTAAACTTATTTATTCATTCTTCTCTCGATGCATACGTCTACCACCACGAGCTGTCGAGTTATGCAGTGCAGCGGTGATGGCTTTATTGACATCTTTGTCTGTAGCATTTTTGCAACGCTTTCGAACAGCAACTAAAATCAGTTTATTGTTATTTAGTATTTTGTTGATACAAAAAAGTTTATTTATTATGGTTTAAGGTCAACTTTATTAATAAGTATGAAATTTGACAAAGGGTGAACTCTAATGGAATACTTACTTGCAATAAACTTTACAAAAGCCTCAATCGAATATTTGTTTGAGCGTTTCCCAGAACGACAACAATTCATTTGTAACTTATCTGTCATGAAAACATTCATGACTGGTGAGTTTATATCAGATATATATTTTCCTCCTGCTGTTGCTGGCCAGTTAATCTACATTCAGAAAAAGAAAGTAAACGATTTAAAAGTACTCAAAGGTGTGTAAATACATACATAAATATATATAAGTGATTGCTAAAAAATAAAATTTATATATGAATAAAAATTATATAAAAATAAAATTTTATATTATATAAATAAAAGTTATATTTAAATAAAATTTTATATAATATAAATATTCTAATATTTAATTTTTCATTTGATTTTCAATGGATGCAACCGGAGTTTTAATTTAATTTATTTTAATATATGTACTTTGAAAGATTTTTCATCTTTAAGTAGGTTTTCAATGAAAGACAATCGGTATTCAATTGACTGTGTGATTGGTATAAGGATGCGAGTGGAGTTTTCAGTGTGAAGGATTGGCAAGAACTCCTGAGATAATTTCAACAAAATATATTATAATTTTATTATTAATATATCAACATAAACAATTTAAAAAAATTTAATTTTCTAGTTTAATTACATTTATGCATGTTTTAATTTAATGATCATTAGTTATAATTAATCTACTTAACAGCAAACTTATAAATACCGAAATAAAATTTACAAAAAGCTTACTGAAGGTAAATTTATTTCTTCAGAATCATTTGGTAATGACACGAAGCTTTGACTAGATTTTCCTTGGTGTTGGATCTCTCGAAAAACATTCTAATCATTCATCAAGTTTTAATATCTAATAATATCATTAACGAATTTTAAGTTAAAGTATTGCTATCAATCATCATGTTTAATACTTACAGCATGGCGTGGTATTGGCAGTAATGGTTGGCTACTAGGTGTTGATGTCTAAAATAATTTTATGTTAACTATATAAATCTAGTAAAATTTTATCTAATTAAAGAAAAAAACTTTTCTTTTTTGATTGTAATCAATAAGTGTAAGTCCATGTGTAAATAAATATTTTCGTTTCCACATTTAAAATAAATATTTAAAAATTTTTTTTATTAACTTGTTTACACTTGTTTTTAATAAAGTCACTTTATAAGCTTACAGAAATGACAGCTGGCTGAAGAGAAAAAGGCATGTTGAAATTAAAATCATCTTTACTATACATATTGCCATGAATTTCAGAAGCAAATAATGAAGGGGATAATCGTTTAGACGTTGTTTTCCTACGACATGAATCACCTTCATATTCTGAAGCAAGATCACTTGTTTCTTCAGATATTTTTAACTTTTCTAAGACCCTTACCTCACAGTCTGTCAAAAAGAAGTAACAAAAATTTGATTTGATTGTGGATTAAAGTAATATTAATAAAACAGGTATAATTTAAATGCGCACGCGCGCACACACACAAATACATATATATGTGTGTGTGTGTGTTTACCTATATATATATATATATATATATATATATATATATATATATATAAACAAAATCGGAAAAATAATATCAATAGATACAAAGTATGCTTACATTGTAGCCATTTTATTTTATTCTGGAATATTTTTCCGCTTCTTTTATCTGATTGTGTAAGATGATTTTTTTTCTTCTAAAAATTTAACTGAGTTATTTGGAAAAATTATTTTACTTAGTACTATTTTCCTCACTTTTTTTACGCAATGTGCATAAAGCTGATTTTTTTTTCTTGAAATAAAACTAGGATATTTGGAAAATTTTTTATTGGATAACAAGCCTCAAATATTGTCATTAAAATACTGCTAAAAGTTATATTGGGTATTATTGATATACTCAATATAAATTTTAGCGGTTTTGTAATGCAAATTTGAGTGTTGAAAATCTGTTTAACAAATTAAATTTGCATTACAAAACCACCTGAACATAAATATATATCAAGGGCGGATCGAGGGTGTCGCGAATGATTTTTCACCGCTAAATTTTTTCTTTATAAAAAGTAGAAATTGGAATCTGGTAATAACAAAAAATGAAAAACTTGTTTGTTTTTTTTATCTCTATAGATAGTTTGATCTCTATAGTTACTTATTCGTTACTTAGACAAAATTCTTGCGTTTTGGAGCAACTGATGCTTTTGTTCTTCACTAAATACAAATGTGATTGGTTTTAAAAAAAAAAAGTACTCATATTTATAGTTTTTTACAAAATTTTCCGATCACTTTGTAACAACTGATGCAATTGTACTCTAAATCATTAATGTTTGGTTAAAAAACAGTTTAAACCAAGGGAGTTTCTAAAACGCCGAATTCTAAAAAGCCGAAACGCCGAAATGCCAAAAAACCTTATAGGAGAAACTGAATAAAAAACGGAATGAAAGCGGTAGTCAACCCCCGCATTAATTTTTAAGTTGTTGTTTTGAATTCTATTAAAAAAATTCAAAATATGTAAAATTAAAAAAATAGTGTTGCAATAAGTTTTGTATTGCTATGGCATCTGTGTACATCGAAGTTAGAGTGATTTTCAGCAATAAGGTAAGAAAAACAATAAGAGAAAAGTCTGTCACTAATGTTAAATATGAACAATAATCTGTTATCACAACAAGAGTAAAATTTTTATTTAGTAAATTTTTTGTTGTTAATTTTTTCTATATGTTTCTTTATTCTGTGTTAGTTAACACAGATTAAAGATTAATTAATCTGTGTTTTTTAATCTGTGTTAGTTTTAATTTTTAATAAGAAAATTAAAGGTTTGAAAGAATTGGAAGTTTCTTTTTTTAGTTTTTTTTTTTTAATTTAATATTTTTATTTACATAATATAAAGTAATCTTTGAAGTATGCCTGTTTCAATAGTATGGTTGATCCATCAGTTTGACAAACCTCAAGTTCTTTGTTTTACCATAGTCACAAGAATAGATAGTCTGGAAACACAATTTAACAATTGATTTTGAACTTTCATGTAACAATTGTAACAATTGATTTTGAACTTTCATGTCAAAATTGTACTTTCGGCCCTCTAAAAGTGCAAAACAAACATTAAAGTGAATCATGGAAAGTGAAGAGTTGCAAGTTCTTCTGAGTTTGATAGAAACAGAACAGTTTGAAAGCGATTCATTTTATCAAGAAATCGAAATAGCAGCTTTAGAAGCATGTAAAGAGACTTTAAATTGTAGTGATTGCTTGAAGGTATTCAAAACAACTATGGGTCTGAAAAGGCATATAAACTATAAGCACAAAAAACCTTTGCCTACTGACAACCTTGTCTAGGTTGTCGGTAGTGAATCAGTTAATTTAAATAAAAATACATAATTATGTATTCAAAGTACACAGTTCAGAGATCTATTGACTAACGCAAAACATAAACTGTGAACAGATGATTGTTTTTGTAATGAAGATTGAGAATGTTTTAAAAACATGGCTGTCACTGAATCTGAGTATTTACAAGTTGAATCTTTTTTTTTAAAAAAAAGAAATGCATGAATTTAAAGGCAATACTGAAAAATTTTATTCTTCACTCCACCATAAGTATACAACTGAGTCAGTTGCGATAAAAACAAAATTAAAAGGAACTATATTATTTATTGTTAGCAGAATTAACAACATTATGTCTAAATTTTTTGATTACAAAAGAATCTAAACTTATTGGTGAAGATTCGAATCTAGAAATAAATCTCTCTGAAAAAGACATAAGATGCTTAGAATATATTGCAGGTTATGTATTTCAAAAACTGTACTATAAGTTGAGAAATAAAAAAATTAACGATGGTGCACTGTCTGGACAATGGCTTGATATTATACTTTCATCAAAAACTCAAGAGGAACAAAAACTTGTAGATAGTAGAGAGAGGTGGATTTTGGAAAATGAATACACAAGTAATAAATATTTTTAGTAAATGTAAAAAAAAAATTAGAATACATACTAGCGTAAATTTTAGAAAAATTGACAGTAAAGTATTGGTTTCACAATTAATAAATAACTGTTTTGTTAAGTCCTGCTTTTATCAAATATGTGACCTTCCTGAAACAGAAATAGACAAAGAAATTGCTAAAACTTTATTATATCATATAGTGATGCTTTTTATTCATGTTCGTTAACATTCACACACAAAACAAATAATAGAAAAATTCAAAAACAAAAAAAAAATAACAAAAGCAGAGTTTTTACGATCATCATTAAAAAAATCAAATGAGATAAAGAAAAATATTTGCGATAGCTGAGATTTACAATCATATTTCCTCTCATCAGTATTTTATCAATCTTTTTTTTTTTTTTTTTTTTTTTTTTTTACATCTTCACTTCCAACAAGGCTGCAAGCAACCACTATAAGAGTTGGAAGTTACTGGAAGAGAAAAGACTAAATCTGTAGAGCAAGATAACGATTGACTGATGACTTAAAAGATTGCAAATTATATGAATCAGGAAAGCAAGATGAAGGAAGCGAATTCCAAAGAACTGATGTTCGAGGAAAAAAACTAGAAGAATAAGAGTTTTTGAAGCACTTAGGAACAGTCACAGAAAAAGGATGAGACTTAATTGAATGGCGAGTAACACGAGAATGAATTTTAGTAGATGGCACAAGGGACGCTAGCTCTTTAGAACAGTGCCTATTAAAGTATTTGTAGAAAAGAGAAAGAGAAGCAACATTAAGACGATGTGACAAAGGTTGGAGATTGGCTGCCAGAGCAGGTCCAACTATGTTTACAATTCGTTTTTGCACCTTGTCTAAAAGAGAAAGAGCATCATTAGAAGATCCGCCCCAGATGTGGCAACAGTATTCCATACAGGGACGGATTTGAGATTTATAGAGATAGAGAATAGAATCTGGAGTAAGAAAGTGTCGAGCTCGATAAAGAGATGCAACCTTGGCAGATGCTAATTTTGCAATGGATTTGATATACGGTTTAAAAGAAAGATCAGAAGTAAGAGTTAATCCTAGAAGATGAATGGTAGATGACTCATCTAGTACATTACCATTCATAAATATAGGAAGATCTAAATTATTACGATAACGATTGGCCGAATAAAATTGAGTTTTATCTGAATTAAAGTTCACCAGCCACTGTGAGCCCCATGCTGTAGCAGAAGTGAGATCCTTTTCAAGCTCAGATACCCCCTCCAAGCAATCAGAGAGTGTAGGCTTCTTATCGTGACAAGAGTAAATGGTAGTGTCGTCGGCGAATAATGCCACCTTAGATGTGAGAATATCTGGAAGATCGTTAATGTAAATTAAAAAGAGTATAGGGCCAAGGATTGAACCTTGAGGAACCCCTGAAGTTACAGGATGTGAAGAAGAGTGTTGTCCATCGAGGACAACTTTTATACTACGATTGGAAAGAAAGGACTCAATAATCTTAAAGACGTTACCAGCTACACCATAAGAAGAAAGCTTATGGAGAAGACCAGCATGCCAAACTTTATCAAAAGCTTTAGAAATGTCAAGTGCGATAGCCTTAACCTCTCCACCTCTATCTAATGCACGGTAAAACCTATCGGTTATTACTGTTAGCACATCAGC